GGCCTGCTGAACTCTATCCCTAGTCTATGATCCCCAATTTGAGACTCCTTGAAGAATTGGTAGTATATAGAAAGGCAGAAGGTGGGGGAGGGCAGGAGGAGAGGACTGTGAAGTCAGAGATATGTGGACACAAAGTGAGAAGGCCATTGAGTCTAGATTCCTAGCCCAGAAAAATCACCTGTGTCCAAGGTTAGGCCTTTTGTGATTCTGCCTCTGTAGCTCCGAGTCTAGGCTATGGTGAATCCATTGCTGGTTAGTTGTCTTGGGGATACTGTGTGCAGACTTTGAGGAGTATCACTAAGGAAAACTCCTTTCTTCTTTTACAGCTCCTCACAGCCAGTGACCTTGCAACTAGCGACCTCAAAGGATTTCAGCCACAGGTAAGTCCCACTGATCCTTTTATGCAGTTTGGAAAAGTGAAATGTCACCTACTTTGGTCATGATCAAACAAACTTGGTTACAAGGGCAAGAACCCCTACCTTGGATTTCGAGCCCCCAACTCAAGGTACCAACCATGAGAACTACCAGGTAGTTGCCCTCTCCCTCCAGTTCTCCTTCTCATCCCATCAAGAACAAAACCATCTCTTTCTGCTTTTCCTCTTAATGTTTTATAGTGGGGAGAAGAATCTAGATCACGATGCTGGGAACTGTCGGGTGGTGGCTCAGCTTAGGAAAGGGTTAAGCCATAGGAGATAGTGGGTGGGGTGGGGATGGGGTTCTTCCCTTTATTTCTCTCTTTCTTGGACAGGACATTCATGTTTCTCTAATTTTCACGTGCAAATGCCTGGCAGTCATGGTCTGGTGGCCAGGTTAATCTCAGACTCCTGCAGAGGCAGATGGTTGAGTTTTGCTGATCTTGGTGAGGAAATGGGCCACTATTATCTCTGGCCGGAGTGCTGTATGAAGGTTGCGGTGGGGGCAAACCCAAGAGAGTGCAGACGAGAGCTGTCTGGGGACCCACTTGGCAGGGATTTAAGATGTAAAATCACTCTGCCTGTCTCTGGAAAGAGAGTTGCTGTCTACACATCAACATCAATGCACACACACACAAACGCATGCCAGCCACACAGAAGTCCTTGTGTTCTCCCAGAGACTCTGTGTTGATAGAGCATATATACAAAGAAAAATAAATCCAAGAGTGATAGTTATGGTACTCAGTCCCTGCCACCACCCTCCCTTCAATATGAAATTTTCTGTTACCCCACCCACTCCCCCAAGCCAGTGCCTGCCTCAGTATCCCAGAGTGTGGTTCCTGTGTGGGGAGATACATCATAGCTAATGGCAGGAAGCTTTGGAGAGTAGCGTAAGTGATTGTAATAGCAAGATTCCATATATTTGGGAATGTTTACTTCTTAAAACCTATTTCACATCCAAGATCTCACTACATGTCTCCTAGGTGGGGCACGTCATTATGTGTCCCTTTTTACTGCTGGGGAGACTGAGGAACAGCATCCTGATGAGAAGTGGCACAAGATTACACAGAGAGCTTGGGACAAGGACAGGGAGAGGAAAGTGGAAGTCTAGAAGCAGAGAATTAACAAATAAAGAGCCCCATCAGTGACAGTTAAGGATAAATCATACAACAGTTTGTGGTGTTTTGATTGCAGATTTTTGATCCTTCTGTCAGGGATGCAATGAGGTTTTAGAAATTGATAGTGAGCCTTTTTGAAAACCATTGAGAACTGGTAATTAATTAGAATACTTACACACGTATTCACACAAATTTCCAGTTGAGCTAAAGGAATGAAAAACAAAAACAAAAGAAAGTCAACGTTTATCCATATGCCACCCACATCCACACCTACGCTCACCCGCAGAGGCACCCCAGCTAAAGATTTACTTTACTGGAAAATGTATAAAAATAAAGGGAAGAAAGGTTTTGTGTGATGCTGTTTTGCGGCTTGAAAAGGGTACATAGGGGCGAGTGAGTTTCTGGAAGTGTTTTGTTTTATTCTTTTTTGTGGTTTGGCGTTGTTTCTTTCTGAGGCAGCCATATTCTGTCCATGTTTGTTTATATAAATTTCTAGATATTAGATTTTTAAGTGAACTACTGGGTAAGGAAAAACTAGATATATTTAGAGTATGTCCGTAATATTTGAGAGCGTGATCCTAGAAAGGCAGCTTCCGTGTTCCCACGGACAGCCCCACAGAGTTTCTGGTACAAATGGCTCCCCCCTCCCCTCATTTCTGTTGAGCCTTTCTACATTGTTCCATTTGTGTGTCATCCCCCCAAGGCTGTAAGCATAAATGCATATTTTTGACCTTCAAGATGCCTGTTCCTGAGGCCAGGAAGTCCTGGGAATCTTGTGGCTAGCGTGTAATGTCCACATCAAAGTTAATTCTCTAGTGTTAGTCCTAAATCAAAAAGACCCGGATGTGTCTCAAGTCAACATTGCCCCTTTGGATGCTTCCACAAACAGAAACAGAAAGCTGCCCACAAGCTTTAGGACACCCCTTCGACTCTGCTCCACCAAATTGGTGGCTTCTGTTGTTATCTTCCCCTTCTTTCTTTGGGTTTCCGATGAAACGGAGCCCCACGCATCCTGATGTCAATAATTCACAGGCATGTTCCCTTCCAGGAACTGTCACTGACTTCGGGAGGGAGTGCGTCGAGGACCCCTCACTGGGTTCACTGTAATCGGGCCCGTCACCTTTCTCACGGTCCACACTTATCACTTACATGTACAGGACTTTTTTTTTTTTTCTTCCTTGTAGCCTGTGCCTGCTGCAGCCTCTTAAGGAAAATAGTCATGATTTTCTCACTAATCTTTGATGACTCTCAGCTTTCAAAGTGTGGAGAGCAGTGACTGTATTACCCACTGGGCTGGAACGTTCTCTCTCTCTGTCTCTGTCCTCCTTTCTACATCCAGTTAGAAAAGAGAAGGGTAAGAAAGCAATTTTCTGCCTTTCTCTCATGGTTATTGGTTTTTAAAGACACCATGCTCATTCTTGGAAATAAACACATACTTTGCAGGTCGAGCCTAGTAGCTGATGCTTCCTAAGGGGTGGGATTGCACGTTAGTGGTGGGAGGACTTCCCAGGCTGGTGAGCTCAGGCTCTGCATGGAAAAGGGTAGAACTATCTGCGAGAGTCAGGCCTGGTGCTGGCAGGTGGGTTCTCTCCTCAGCAAGTTTTAAAAGCTGTTGTACAGCACAGATGTGAAAGCTTCTGAATTTCATACTTAAGCCACCCAGACTCTTCTCTTCCCCTTGAGTTATCCCCCCAAACACATCTGTCATTTTCCAACACCCTGTACTTGACTTTTGAAGGAAAAGACTCTTGAGTCCCCTCCTCTCTAGTCTTTGGGTGTCTTGAAATGAGGATGCTCATCTTTCTTTGCCTGGCCATCCTTCTCCACCCTCAAAAGCAGTAAGAACTAGCATCTAATTCCCATTAGTAAAAGCCCAACAGCCATATGCTTTTCTTCTCCATTTTTCTTTTTGTTCTTTTTCTTACCCTCACTATAGGGCTGTGTTTATTGTAGAAATTTGGAAAATATGGAAAAATATAAAAATATATCCTGTAATTACACCCAGAAACATAAAGACATTTTGGGTTATAGCTTTCTAGTCTTTATTCTACATAGACATATACATCTATCTTTTTTTTTTTTAATTGGGATCATATTTTCTGTGCTTTTTGGTTACCTTCTTTTTTGTTGTTGTTGGTTT